TCTTCGGTCTTCATGGTCACATTCCACACGTCCTCCAACTGCACACATTATTGTCTCTCCTCCGCAACCTGTCCATTACAGTAATCCCAATCTGCCTTACCTCTGTGGAATCTATTGCAATTATTTTTCGTCTATTTCAGTGTATTCCACTGAGCTGACAGGAAATGATACAAGAAGTGAAAATTTACATCGGTTTAACGACCAAGAGCATTTCTATCGTACATCGCAGCACTGAATTTTGCCAAGAAAACATTCTACAAAAACACCTCTAATGTCACCGTCTATGATCATGTACTAAGTAGTGAGTATCGGATCTCAGAGGACCTTCCAGGCAAGAACAACAACAAGCGAAACCAAATTGTCCCGAATCGTCGTCACTCACGTTTGTTGCCGTCACCGGTCGAACACGTGAAGAACAAGTGACTATCAACTACCAGAGTCGAATTAATACCTGTATCTTCTTGTTGCTGCAGACTGTGCGTCTTGACTACTTGTTCGACGAGCTGTTTCAGACCGGTACGGTTCTCCTCGCCCTCAAGCATCTTGCGGTAGATGGCGATTTCCGCGTCAAGGGTCTGCTTGGTGTCAAGCAGCATCTGCAGCTCGACCATCAGCGACTGACACTCCTCGCGCATCTTGCGGATCTGTGCATCACGGTCGTTCAGTGCAGCCTCATACGATCGTTGATCGTCCTCCAACTGGTAGGTCAGTTCCTGAACCTGCTTCTCTAGCAAAGAGTTCTGAAAATACCAACAAGCATTCGTCAGCCAATGTGTGTTCTTCCGTAGGAGGAAAAGTAATTGTTACTCTGCTTTCAAGGTCCGCCAGTTTTCCGCGTAAGTCACCTAATTGTACCCGCATCCGCTTCGTCTCTTCCTTCTGGTAGCCGGTCTCCATCGTTTGCCGTGCTGACTGGGTCTGAATTTCTTGCACCTACAAAAAGAAGAAAAGGCGGCGCTAGGAGACTGGACCAACGGTTGGGCAATAACGAGCCGAAGCTTCACGACGTACCTTCAGTTTGTACCACGATTCCATATCGTTCTTATTTTGGGCAGTAATGGTGTCGTATTCGTTTCGAATGTCACGAATAGCCAAAGCCAGTTCGTTCTTGAAATACTCGCGGTTTTCTGCAGTCGTATCGCGAGCAGCAAGAGCCTGCAGTTCCTTGATTTCCTAAACAACCGCCTGGAATCAATAAAGGCACAACGCAGTTGGTGGACGGCAGAGAAACAATGCTTGAGCACCAGTTCACCGT